ACACAATGGAGAACAATCTAAAGCAATAAAAACTATATGGGCCCGTCAAATCTGTAGTCAAATCTGTCATCTTATTAGTGCATCTACTGGTTGTAGAAACTGTAAGTGTATGAGTGCACATACACCTGCGTTCAAAGAATGTGTGGACAGAACATTGTCATCTTTGAATAGGGAATAACTTGGGTTAGCCTTTTGTAGCTTACAGACAACACTCAGGGATGTGAAGACATACCTCCAACAACACAAACGTGGCACTCTAGTGGCGCGTGACAGAGAAAACACACACATTCTCATTTCTTCAAGAAATAAAATATATATATTTTTAATTGGAGTGTTCCTTAAATTAAACACTTCTGATTATTACACCCCTTCTGTACTGAGGTTTAAAAATAAATTAGAGCTTTAAAATAAATTATCCGCACTTTATACTTGCTCTTGGAGAGTTTCCTCACTGCAGCTTTTATCCTCCCTTTGTGAAGTCATCGTTACCAATTACTTGTGTCCAATCAGATGCTTTTCAGAGAGACACTTTGGGGGCACAGCAACAATGTTTCGTTCTCATAGAGAAGCATTGAAACCAGTGTTTGTCTATGAGAAGCACTCACTTAAACTTCAAACTATAGACTGGGACAGGAGACAGTCCTGAGTGTCTGCTTGACACCTGAGATATTTACCAATGGGATTTATAATACTGCTGATTTCTCTGGAAATCAGAACTTATAAAATAAGGCACATGAGATAAAGCTGATGTACTTCATGGCACCGCAGTCTCCCTTTAATCCGATTAACCTATTGTACAGTTCTGAGTACATTGCAGATTTATAAAAAATAAAAAATAATGCAAACAATAGATCTGTAACCCCAGGGGGAAAGTGAAAGAAAACACTGTACAAAACTTATTGTGCAGTGAAACAAATCGTGATTTGCTCCACTGACCCATGAAATACATAAATTGGGTTTACTGCCCCTTCAAAGACCATATTATGATATAGAGTTACTGTAGTTTATGGGGTTAAGAATGTCTTCTGCTTGTTGACCCACGGAATGATGACTGTGCTACAACCCAGGAAACTTATGGAATAACCACAAACAACCAATGATGCATTACTTGAGCCGCTGCTACCAAAATCTACCAGCTATCAAAATATACTATCTAAAACAAACAGCAGTAGTTTGCCATTTATAAACCACTGCACAAAGATTTAATGCAAAATATAAAAAAAAATTCCAAGTCACAGACAAATCTTACACTTCCAATATCCTTATTGATAGTTTTCTTGAAAATACACAATGATTATGTGTGATCATGCCTGGGGTTTGCATTGAGCAAATAGCACCGATTTGAAACAGATTTAAATTTAATTGTAGCCATCAGTGGGAACAAACCCTTAAAACATATTTTGCATTATTTATAATTTACAAAAAGCAAGAGCCGTATCACAGAAAGAAAAATAAATTGATGCAATTGGCAGGATAGAAATATTTTAGGAGTTTAGCAATTTACATTTTACCAGATAGACAGCAATCAGCAATAAGACTAAACGTTTTTTTTTTAGCAAGGAATGTTTTAGAATGTATTTACATCAGTACCGTTAAAACTGTGAAATTTAAAGGGACACCCAAATTAACTTTAGATTAAAGGACATTACAGTCACCTAAACAACTTTAGCTTAATGAAGCAGTTTTAGTGTATAGATCATGCCTCTCAGGTTTTACTGCTCAATTCACTGCCATTTAGGAGTTAAATCGCTTTGTTTCTGTTTATGCAGCCCTAGCCACACCTCCCCTGACTCTGATTGACAGAGCCTGCATGAAAAAAAAACAACTGGTTTCACTTTCAAACAGATGTAATTTACCTTAAAACAATTGTATCTCTTTCTCTGTAAATTGAACCTTATTCACATACAGGAGGCTCTTGCAGGGCTAGCAAGCTATTAACATAGAAGGGGATAAGAAAATCTAAATTAAACAGAACTTGCAATAAAGGAAAGATAAATTTTAGATGACTCTTTACAGGAAATGTTAAGGAAGGCTGTGCAAATCACATGCAGGGAGGTGTGACTAGGGTTCATAAACAAAGTTATTTAACTCCTAAATGGCAGAGAATTGAGCAGTGTGACTGCAGGGACATGATCTATACACCAAAACTGCTTCATTAAGCTAAAATTTTGGTAGATAAATGCTTTCTCTGAAGTCTAACTGCTCAGTTCTCTGCTAAAAATCACTTTATTTATGCAATCTGTGCACCATTTTAAATGCTGCCAGGTAGAGTTTAGCGGACACCTGGATGTTCGGGTTTGCTGGGTTCGGCCGAACTTCGGCAAAAAGTTTGAATTCGGGACCTGAACCCGAACCACATTGAAGTCGTTGGGGACCCGAACTTTTGGGCACTAAAATGGCCCCCAACCCTGCTTGGCGGGTGGGGGCCCTACATAACAATGAATGGGGGACCTACTGTCCTCCCCTCAGCCCCCACCCCTGAGCGGAGGCCCTAAATAAGATTTAGGGGGGGATCTACTGTCCTCCCCCTCAGCACCCACCCCTGCGCGGCGGGTGGGGGCTCTACGTAACAATGAGGGGGGACCTACTGTCTTCCCCCTGGCCCCCACTCCTGTGCGGCGGGTGGGGGCCCTACATAACAATGAAGGGGGACCTACTGTCCTCCCCCCTGGCCCCCACCTCTGAGAGGTGGGTGGGGGCCATAAAGATAATGAGGGGGGGACATACTGTCCTCCCCCCGGCCCCCACCCCTGTGCGGTGGGTGGGGGCCAGAAATCACAATGGGGGGACCTACTGTCCTCCCCCAAGCCCCCACCCCTGAGCATTGGGTGGGGGCCATAAAGATAATGAGCGGGGACCATGAAGGTAATGAGGGAGGGGACCTACTTCCCTCCCCCCGGTCTTCACCCCTGAGCATTGGGTGGGGGCCATAAAGATAATGAGAGGGGACCTACTGTCCTCCCCCCTCACCCACCCCTGAGTGGTGGGTGGGGGCCCTAAATAAGAATGAGGGGGGACCTACTGTCCTCCCCCCTGACCCCCACATCTGAGAGGTGGGTGGGGGCCATAAAGATAATGAGGGGGGACATACTGTCCTCCCCCCGGCCCCCACCCCTGTGCGGTGGGTGGGGGCCAGAAATCACAATGGGGGGACCTACTGTCCTCCCCCCAGCCCCCGACCCTGAGCATTGGGTGGGGGCCATAAAGATAATGAGCGGGGACCATGAAGGTAATGAGGGAGGGGACCTACTTCCCTCCCCCCGGTCTTCACCCCTGAGCATTGGGTGGGGGCCATAAAGATAATGAGAGGGGACCTACTGTCCTCCCCCCGGCCCCCACCCCTGCGTGTTGGGTGGGGGCCAGAAATCCCAATGGGGGGGAGACCTACTGTCCTCCCCCCCTGGCCCCCACCCCTGAGCGGTGGGTATGAGCCCTACATAACAATGAGGGGGGGACCTACTGTCCTCCCCCCTGGCCCCCACCCCTGCGCGGTGGGTGGGGTCTAGATATCACAGTGGGGGGACCTACTGTCCTCCCCGCCACCCCTGCGCATTAAGTGGGGGCCAGAAATCACAATGGGGTGGACTTACTGTCCTCCCCCCCGGCCCCCACCCCTGCGCAGTGGGTGGGGGCCATAAAGATAAAGAGAGGGGACCTACTGTCCTCACCCCGGCCCCCACCTCTGAGCGGTGGGTGGGGGCCATAAAGATAATGAGGGGGGACCTACTGTCCTCCCCCCTGGCCCCAACTCCAGCACGGTGGATGGGGGCCAGAAATCACAATGGGGGGACCTACTGTCCTCCCCCCGGTCCCCACCCCTGTGTGTTGGGTGGGGCCAGAAATCAAAATTGGGGGACCTACTGTCCTCCCCCCTGGCCCCCACCCCTGTGCAGTGGGGGGGCCATAAAGATAATGAGGGGGGTGATCTACTGTCCTCCCTCCTGGCCCCCACCCCTGAGCGGTGGGTGGGGGCCATAGAGATAATGAGGGGGGCACCTACTGTCCTCCCCCTGTCCCCCCCCTTGGGTGGAGGCCCTAAATGGCAAATTCCCCCCCTTCAAAGGTGACTAGGGGTCCCCCACCAAAATAAATCTATCCTCTACCTACCCCCTCACCCTAAAAATAGTGAAGGGGGTATAAAATAACTAACCTGTAAAGAAAAATAACACTTACCATTTGATGTCTTCTTTCTTCTAAAATCTTAATTTTGAAGCTCCATAAAAAGCCAAATAAAAAACCATCATACCCATTGAACTTAAAATAAAATAAAAATCAGAGCGCAAAAAAAAACCTGACGAAAAAGAACTGTTACTGAAATGTCCAGGTTCAGGGTCAAAAAATCGTAATGTTCGGTACGAACTCTACTGCTAGGGTTAGGAATGAGAGGTTAGTTTAGTGGCTCCTGAGGGTAAGGGTTACATTTCTGGCTTTAAGGAACACTCCAAACACCTAAAGTAATTTGAAGTGCTTTATGTGTGAACAGTGTAGCCTCTTATTTTCATTGAAACAAGTGCAGATATCAATAGAAATTGGAACTTTTATAAATTCATCTTGTTACGCCTCTCTAGTTATCAATCAGACAACTGATCCTGCTACTTCCTGGTTGTTTAGCTCAATGCAGCTAAACTCAAGAGGTAGGTAATCACACAGAGCACCTGCCTTGTATCAGGCTGTGTATATGAATAGTCTGTATTTCCTCTGTTGGTAATGCACCCATCATTGTAATGATGCAAGCTATCATAAATAATGCTGCAATGTGTAATGGTTGCTTTTTCAATGTGGCACTACTACAGTATTCTCAAAAGTTATAATTTTAATGTGAACATTTGTAAAAACATATCATTACAGAACCTGCACCCCGGACAAAGATTATCTTTAGTCTGGAAACAATCACAAAATTAGACTGATAACAACTTGTTACTCCTAGTTACAATGTATAGTTTAGCTCAATCTCTGCATACCAGGCTGCTTGAAGGCTCCTGGGAAGTGGTTTCCAAGCCAGTCCTCAAGGCACGCCTACCAGTCCAGGATTTAGGGATTACCGAGTTGAGTGAAGGTGTTTTTTTTTGTTTTTTTTTCTAAAAAAACCTTAGACACAACTGGGTAATCCCAAAGTTCTGGACTGGTAGGCGTGCCTTGAGGAACTCTCTGCTCCAGAGGGCTGTGGTCAGAGTTTTCAAAGTGGGACCACTCTCTACTTTGTATACTCTACTAGTATTTAGCAAAATGATTAACATGGGCACAAATTAAAATTCAAATAAAAAAATATAAATAATAATAATATTTGCTTTAAAAAAAAATACCCTGTAAGTTATCTAAGTATTTCCATTTAACTGGGCTATTGGTTTATTTATCTTTGTATTAATGTGTGTGGTCTGTGGATGGATAAGGCATCACTGGATATTTTTGGAATAATTAGCCCTCTCTTTTTTTTTTCCATAATACAGTTTTTTCCCCTATTTTTATTTCACCCATTTTTGGGCATTTAAATGCTTGCCTGTGACTAATGCTCTCATTGCACATCTTATAAAAGGAGCTGCAAAGTTGGCATATTTATTGGGATATCAGTTGAAAGAGGGTCAAACTGCACGCTGTAACGGCATGATATAACATATTATTGCATAGGTGCTATCTCATGTCTACCAGCCCTAAAATCACTTTTCTATTACAGGGTAGTAAAGAAGTAAATTTCAGAAAGTGAAGGATGTTTTTTATTTTTATAAGATACAGGTTGTTCTATGAGTTATTAACTCTATACTAGTACCACCAAACTGGAAAGACAAGTTGTAACGGATCACCTGGCACCCCGACTGGGTTCCTCCATTGATGGATGCTCCTAGTGCTTCCCAAGGGCTCCAAGCACTCCACTTGACACCATAAGCACTGCAGAGAGCAAAGCAGAAACAAGCGCTTAAAAGAGCTTAGTGATTATAGCCAGGGGAGTATACAGTGTATAGCAATCCCCAGTGTAGATGCAGCCTTTCCCCCCACACATGAGACGAAGCTCTATGTTGAGGGTAAAACAGGAACTCAGCAGTCTGAGGGTTTATTGTCACTTATATACAGGTTTTCCCACAAGGTTACCACCCATGTGGACCTTGTGGAACACAGGACAAAAATATGTAAAAACCAATCAAAACAAAACAGTACAGTCAGACACTCCCAGCCAAAGCACATAAACCCTCCCCTCTGCATGTGATATAATTACTGAACACAATGGGTTAACTTAATTATCACAGGCAGGAAAATATACAGTTTTATACAATATTCATAACTTCCAAACCATACATGCAATTTCCATAAATAAGTTACATATTCTGAACCAGAAGAATCAGTATACAAACATATTCAAAAATCATACAATTTGGTCCAGTGGTTCAAAAGATAGGTGGAAGTCCTATTTGACCGACTGCAAGCATGGCTTTCCTGCCCAAAACAGTACCACAGATTTAGGCTGTTCAGCCAGTCTATCTTCTCCTCTATCCTGGAGATAATTGGCTTAAGTGGGCGTGATAACTTAATTATATCCAGGTACAGGGAATATCTCCATTTACAACAACAGTAAAACACATAAAAATACATAATTCCAATTATACTGAACAGAATCCCCACATTCAACAGCGCTCAGATACCACGAACAGAACAAAATCGCCATGGGGTTAAACTTTAGCAAGGGCTGATGAGAGATTGAGGAGGGACAAAGCAGCCAGTTTAAACTGGTCTGGCAGTGTCCCTGGGACAATGCCCTGCTGGAGAAACAATAGACAGGAAAAAGGGGGAAGAGGCACTTTTTCTCATGGAATTAAAGGGGCAGAAAAAAAGTGTTACAATCCAATATGGCCAAATAATAGTTTTAAAGGACCATACACCCCAGGGCCATAATCCTGTGGCACAGGCCCCTCCAGACCCCACTGGCGAGGTTATTTTCACCACACAATTGTTAACCAGAATACCACATTTGTTATATCAAATTGCCATTTACTGGGTATGTCCTTCCTCCATGTACAAAGTTTCACATCTTGATCTCTGTTTTACTTAATACAAGTGCCAAAAATAATTTACACCCTGTCATTGTACTCTCTTAAGGTTGCTGAACAATGGCAACAATTAATCTCTTCTAACTGTGCGGCCAGGGCCGCCACCATGACAGGCCTGGCCGCCTGGGCCCTACGTGTAGCTGTGCCAGGGCCCCGCCTTGCTGATGGGGCCCATCGGATGTCCCACACACTAAGGGCCACCTGATGGGCCCTATATTTTCAGGGGCCCGGACAGTGCTGTGGCCACATAATAGCGCAACCGGGCCATTTTTTTAAAAATTGCAGCCGCAACCTAAGTGCTGCTGGGGGGAAGTGACAGACGGTTCCTTCCCCCAGTTCACTCCACGCAGGAGGAGAGTCATGGTGGAGGCCTTGAAGAGGGAGAGCTATGCCGACTCCCATCAGCCCCAGACAGCTGAAAAATTAGATGTGTGTGACAGTGTGTTTGTCTGTCAGTATGCATGTCTGTATGTCAGCATGTATGTCAGTATGCATGTATGTCTGCCAGTATGTATGTCAGTATGCAAGAAAATGAAAATTTTGCCAGCATTATGGCTGTAAGAGGATTAAGGGAGATGTAGTCCACAACATCTGGAATGACGATTTTTGCTTACCCTGGTTCTAGAGCAACTGACCAACAAGATACAGGCTGTATGTATGTATGTATGTCAGCATGCATGTCAGTATGTATGTATGTCAGTTTGCATGTATGCCAGTGTGCATGTATGTAGGTATGCATGCATGTGTATGTGTGAGTATTATGTCAGTGTCTGTATGTATGTATGTATGTCAGTGTCTGTATGTATGTATGTCAGTATGTGTGTGTCTGTATGTATGTTAGTATGTGTCTGTGTGTTACTATGTAATGTCTCCCCGTCTTCCTAGTGTCCTAGCGACATGGGGACCCTGGGATACATGGGGACCCTGGGATACATGGGGACACAGGGAGACATGGGGCATTGAGACACTGATACATAGGATCACTGGGAGACCTGGGGACACGACACTAGGGGACACTGGGAGACATGGGGCACTGAGACACTGATACATAGGAACACTGAGACCAGGAGTAATCGACACATGGGTGCACTGAGTCACGAGGGCACTGGGAGACATGGGGGAACTGGGAGGAATCCATCTATACAGCAGATTTAAACTAAGTATTTTTTTGGTGATTTTACAGCATTTTCTCTTATGCTACTCCTTGTGATTTACAAAATGTGATATCACTTTTTGCTGTAAGCACGGTCTTTTCAGAGAAAATGCTGTGTTTACATTACATCCTAGTGATAACTTCACTGGTCACTCCTTAGATGACTGTTAGAGATCCTTCCTGGGTCATGGCTGCCTAAAATGCATCCAAACATTCAGTGTCTCCTCCCTCTGCATGCAGACACTGAACTTTCCTCATAGAGATTCATTAATTAAATTCAGCTATATAAGGAGATGCTGATTGGCCAGGGCTGTGTTTGAATCATGCTGGCTCTGACCCTGATCTGCCTCTTTGTCAGTCTCAGCCAATCCTATGGGGAAGCACTGTGATTGGATCAGGCCACCACTTCTAATGATGTCCGCAGACTGATTGTTTTTATAAGTCTAACAGCATGCAGAGTTACAGCTTCAGGCGTGAATATAGTAGGAGTTTGCTATATTTATGGAGGCATGATGGTGGTGTTAACACTACAGGGTCATGAATTCATGTTTGTGTTCCTGACCCTATAGTGATCCTTTAAGGTAATGCTGACTTTGGTCTCTCTAACACTGTGGCATGTTCCCTTTCTTCTATACTCACTACATACAGCTTTTCTCTGTCCCAGAACATATACCAGGAGCTTCTGCCTGCTAGTAAGAAGTTAAGGAGACAAGTGGACCAGCGAGTGCTAGGGGACAGTCCTTAGAAAGCGTTGAGTGAGCGCATCATTAGATGCATGTATGCCAAGCTCAGGGTGCTGTCTGCATAGTATGCCCTTAGTTGGCCAGCTGCATGATTGGAATGCAGCCTGACATGCATTCATGCCAGGCTGGCCTTCTAATTCTTTGAGCAGACATGTCCTCTTTTTGGGCATGTTCGCCCCTTTTGGCAGTTTATGTGATTTGTGTCAGTGGCACACCCTTTTACCATGCCCATTGACTTCCTGCTTGACTGGACACTGCTGTTAGGGGTTATGGATTTACTTGAAAGATGAAAACATACATTAGAGAGAGATTAGCCTAGGGTATGTGTTTTCTTATAGCTGCTGTTTTCTTTCTCTCCAGCACCATCTCCATCAGATACATGACGCTTGGGAGTGTTTTACTGTTTTTGGTCGATACGATTCTGTAATTAGGCCCGTCATAATTGTCAGCACCAGGCCCACTGGGCTCTTAATCTGGCCCTGCCTATTATTCATCTTGTCTAAATTAAATTGTCACCTTATAAATACTCGTATAACAGCAAGCCTCCATCTGATCCGCTCTCTGCCATTTTTATTTTGTATCTCCTTATCACTTACATTTCTGTACTTGAATTGAGATCTCAAAGTGCCATAAACATCATGCACAGCTGACTGTTGTAAATATGGTGCATTATTTGGGGTGTTATGTACCGATTTACTTTGAATTCCCCACATTTCCCACTTTAGGGATAGTTTGATTTCTCCTTTTTGTAAATATGCACTCTTATTCTGTATAACCAATACATTGGCTCTATTAGCTTTCTATTTTGTTGTGTATTTTCACATAATTCATATCATCCATCAAGTGGCTTAAAGATGATTAACAAATTTTGAATTCCGAATCGAAACAGACATGCTTGTCCATTGCTTGAGTCGTTTGTTTCATGATTCGTCTATATTGCTGTTCGGAAATTAGGAACTCGTTCGGTCACCAGATCGACACAAATTCTAACAAATTGCAGTTGGTCAGTAAACAAATCTCTAAGTCTATCCATTATGTTTAGGGAGATATATTTGGTGTTATCCCACTAAACTTTAACTTGATCATTTTCTGTCTCTGTCCTCTCATGTCAGTGACAGCATTATTTGTACTTGATTGGCATCAACACTTTGCTTCATTACTCCACGGTAGCTAAGCTTTGAACTTATTCATTTCCACAAAGGCTACATATATC